ATTTTTTGCACTCTCTGGTCAACTGACTCAGTGAATCAAATGACTCAAAAAAACCGATTCACTTTGGTGAGTGACTCATTAAAACTCTATTCAGTAAAAAGAATCAAATTTACCATCACTAATTCACAGGCAGAGAAAATTTATACTATTTATACTCATAGAAATTGATGTATTGTTGAGAGTGATGATGTACTGAGACAATCTCTCCTGAACCAAATTCCACTTTTGGTTTTAAGTGGCCTCCTCCTTTGTAAGCAACCAGAAACCAGACAAACATGATTTCATTCCATAAGCAGTGTAGCTCTTGTAAAGGTCATCTTCCCTTTACATGAGTAGATCACACATTTACCAGCTAAATGTGGTCTGATAATTTATTTGCAGGTATTGCACAGATATAACATGGATATTGATTGAGTTCTCTTAAAAAAAAGAGTTTACCATGAATCATTTCAATAACTGTAAAATGTCATTTGTCATCCAGACTGTGCTAAAATTTACAACATATACAAGACATACTTGAACACAAAGATGCTACGCATACAAATAAGCTGAATTGTCCATTAACTACACACTGCTGTCTCTGAATAAAAGTAACCTTCTACAAGCCTTGCATACATTTGAAACAAATTTTAAAAGAGGAAACAAAAGAGCAGTTTGGGGCAAGTTACTTTCAAAAAGTAATTTATTATAGTTACTTTCTTGAAAAAAGTAACTGAGTTACTAACTGAGTTACAAGATTCTAAAAGTAATTAATTACTTGAAAAGTAACCATTGCGTTACTTTAAAAAAAATGTTTAACCCTCTGGGGTCCAGGGTATAATCGGCCATTTTAACTACTTTTGATGTTTCCTCCACATTTCACCTTTAAAAACTATTTACTTTGTCTTGTTTGGTATCATCAGCACAACCTCACATGTCTGAATTTACAGTTATCTTTTCATTATATTTTTTACTGTAACAACCACAAACATGTTTAATGAATCAAACAAATTATTTGTGCCACTCTAAAAACATAATTTCTGTCCACCATAAAGGAGAACATCACAGCTTGATACCTGCAGGTCTGACATGCTCTTTTTTGACATGCAGCGGCGCTGCACACATTAACCAGGTAAAATACATATTTAAGCAGATTTGTGCAAATATCTATTTTTTTCAGCAGCATAGAGCTTTTTTTCCAATTATTTTTTAAAAGTCAGGTCAAGGCTCTAAAAGCACAAAGGCGATATGAGGCTGGCGGCTCACAGCCGCTGTTTGCTGGATCCTTTTAGTTCAGCTGGGTGTCTTTCCTTTTGTTATATTTCTTTAAGAGTTCAAAATGTGTTAATTAAATAAATAAAATGTAATTTTCTCTGTAGCACTTCATGGATTTCATAAGCAACACACCTTAGTAGTTCATACAAAGCATAAAGGTAAAAACAATATATACAGTGTTATCTTCATTTTAGATGTCAAAAAGTATTTGCGGCTCCCAGTGTTTTCTTTTGCATGGAAACCAGGTCCAAGTGGCTCTTTGGGTGTTAAAGGTTGCAGAACCCTGGCCTAAGGGAAGCATGTGTAATGTAAACAGAATAGGTCCTAGCACTGAACCCTGTGGAACTCCACAATTAGCCTTAGTGTTTGAAGAGGACTCTCCATTTACATGAACAAATTGGAATCTATTAGATCAGCGTTCCCTAACCCTTTTTTGTGCCACGGACCAGTTTAATGTCAGACAATATTTTCACGGACCGGCCTTTAAGGTGTTGTGGATAAATACAACAAAATAAAATGATACGACCAAGAAAAAAAACCTGTCGTATTTTGTAAATATAATAATAATAATCGTGAATTCACTATGCAATTGTGTAACTTTATTAACAGCGTGCTCCTGAAATGCGCCAACAACATTTAGAGCAGGGGTCAGCAACCTTTAACACCCAAAGAGAAGTGGCACAATTTAGGGGATGTAGAAACTAAGGGGTTTGATCTGCGATGCTCATTAATTCCACTCACCAAGGGGAATGAAGGTCAAGCAACCGGGGAGTCTGGATGAACAGTCTCATAGGTCCAGGCCCGTTACGTTCAAGCAAGGACATGGAAGAAAAGTTCCCCTTCATAGAAACTGTCTGAGCACAGGTGACCAGAAATGCTTGCCGCCCCTTACCAGCTAGACTCCGCTTCCAGAACAGTCTAAGCTTCACCTGGCTACCTGCTCTTTTTCCTCTCCTCCTCCGTGATTTGTGTAGATCCAGAAAGGTACCACTGGTGACGCCTGACGAAGATCCTGACACCGGCAGCGGAGGATGGAAAATACCGTCGCAGGAGGATGAGGTATCCAGACCCATCATAGAGGATCGAATAGATAGGAGCGTTAGGCGATCACAGACTAAGGCAGCCAACACATCAGTGACAAAAAGGGAGAGCAAAAGGGCCGAAAAGCCCTTTTCCGTGCCCAGCTGTTCCTAATCATCCTTCATATTGTATGGCCTATTTAACGGCGGTGCTGGGCGACAGTCAGCGTGGGAGTATTGTACCGAGCCTGGTAGTAATTGCTGGCATCGAGCTAAGTAGAGACTGACCTGCTGAAGAGAAGACTTAACTTTTTGTATTAATTTCTCCTAGGATAGAGACGGGAGGCTCAGCTGGAGAGGAATTGAATGCTGGCTCACTAGGGGAGAAGACACAGACACAGTACCACACACAATTGGGAAATGGGAAACTCACTCACACGGAGGACTACTTGAACATTGGACTCTTTGTCACCCTTCCTTTTTCACTGTAAATAAAAGCACTGTCTGTTCCTTCAGAAGCTCCACACCCGGGTCCCTCATTCCCCGTGACAACCAGAAGTGATTGAGTGAGTAAGTTTACCAAGTGACGTGAGTTACAGCTACACCAAAGTTTTCTAGATATGTGACTAATCATAGCGACACCCTGGGTGACCTGAAGGGAATGGGAATGGCAGCAGGAGACAATTTAAACTGGAGTTTACTTTTACGATTCTCCGATTATTGTTCACATTAAAGAAATAACAGAGAAGAGAATTTATTTCAGCGTTAGTTTAATCTTCCTTTAAAATGTGCTTCAATATATTTAAAGCAGCAAATGAAAACAGACTTACACTATTATATATAATTTGTAATTTTAAAGAATGAACAGTCAGAACAAACATAATTATTTTTTTCTCAGAAATGTTGCACAGTGGTGGCAGCTCATGTAAATGTTATAAGGTATTCTGGGTAAGCCTGGATATCATTGAAGACCACAAACATGGTTGGATTCGACATGTTATCTGTGACGCTGTCATACAGGTCTGAAGCGCTCCCAGATTTGGCTGGAGGGGTGATCATGCCACTGTTTCCTTGGGTGTAGTCTCCAACAAGAACCTTGGCCTGGTACATGCGCTTGTGTCCACTGGCGTCAGGGCTGGCGTAGCCTTGTGCTGAATAGTTTGGGTTCACAGCAAAGTAAGAACCTTTGCCGATTGCTGCACCTACTGACAGAGCGAATAAATAAAAAGATTTAGTCAAGGATGGTCGACAAAAGTTTTTTTTTAAGTGAACGCTGCTCCACAGCTGTGGTCTCTGTCAGATATGTATCATGTATGTCATTAGAGTATTTAACTATCAGTTTGTAGGTGGAGGGTAAAAACAAGCTGTGGCTTTTTCTGGTAGCCCAGGTGTAGCCGGGAACATCCGCCCTAAATGTTGGTAAAAAAAAGGTTTGTGCCTGTTCTTCTAAAGAATATGTAGATAGATCCGACTGAGCAATTTGAAAATCTGTCGTGAAACACGGGATGTTTTATTTCTCCAACAACCAGTGAAAGTGTCATCC